GACAATAATAATTTTTTAAAAAATTAAATTGCAACCCTGAAAAGAGAAATGGGAGGGCTTGAGGGAGTGGACAGAATGCTGTTCCTGTTATTGAGGAGGGTGAAGCTTAGGCTAACTTCTTTTTTTTCCTACTACAAGTCCCTGAATGCCCGAGCCAGCAGAGTTGGCCAAGAGGCTCCGGAAAAACGCAGCACTGAAACAGGTATTCTTTTTTTCTTCCTGAGCTCTCTGGAAGACTCCACTTGCTGTTCCACAACAAAGCAAACACTGGGAAGCAAACCTTCCAATGTAAAAAGCTTGCTGATCAAAGGAAGAAATCAATAAACCTGCAACATGGAGAAAGTAAACAAGCCTGTTGGAAAAAAAATAGAAGGCTCCTTCTAAGCTTTCCAGCGGACTTGTTATCTTGCCAAGAAAATGACAGGCTTTCCAATATGCTTTAAGTAGTCCGCTTCAAGAACATCAAGGCTCCCTCCCGTGACGTTGACGACTCCCATCCAACATTCTTAGAATCACCTATGTGCACTGAGACCATTATTCCCGGTCCCAACCTGTGAATTCCATTCCATTCACTTCATAGTTTGTTCAAGTATTCCGAAGAGAGATGAATGAGGGGCCATTTGCAGTCTGGCAATGGATCAGAGGAGGTGATTTGAAGCTTGGTTGCAGAGAGGAAGCTAAAGCTTCAAATCATGTCTTCTCTAGCCTTGCTCTGGGAGCTGGGGTCCCAGAAAGACCAACCAAGCTGGAGGATTCCGGGAAATGTAGTCCAATAATAATTATATTCATCTGTCCATTCTGGCTGGTGTCAAGGAGGTTTAATAAAAATCATGTGCTGTCAAGTCAGTTTTGACTTCTTGTGATGTTTGTTTTTCAGGGTTTTCCAGGTAGAGAATACTCAGAGGTGGTTTCCATTCCCTTCTTCTGGGGGTGCCCTGGGACCAGGTGGCTTGTCCAAGGCCACACGGGCTGGTCTTTCTCTTTGGAGATGCACAGTGGGGGAATCGAACTCCCAACCTCTGGCTCCACAGTCAGAGACCTCAAATACTGAGCCATGCAGCCAGCTTAATAGGATTTGTTGTTTAGTCATTAAGTTGTGTCTGACTCTTCGTGACCCCATGGACCGGAGCACGGCAGGCCCTTCTGTCTTCCACTGCCTCCTGGAGTTTGGTCAAATTCATGTTGGTTGCTTCGATGACACTGTCCAACCATCTCGTCCTCTGTCGTCCCCTTCTCCTCTTGCCTTCACACTTTCCCAACATCAGGGTCTTTTCCAGGGAGTCTTCTCTTCCCATGAGATGGCCAGAGTATTGGAGCCTCAGCTTCAGGTTCTGTCCTTCCAGTGAGCACTCAAGGTTGATTTCTTTCAGGATGGATAGGTTTGTTCTCTTTGCAGTCCAGGGGACTCTCAAGTCTCCTCCTTCTTTATAACTCAAAAGTATCAATTCTTTGGCGGTCAGCCTTCTTTATGGTCCAGCTCTCACTTCCATACATCGCTACTGGAAGAACCATAGCTTTGACTATGCAGCCCTTTGTCAGCAAGGTGATGTCTCTGCTTTTTAAATAGGATTTATGATCCCCAAAAAACTAAGGTCAAGAGACAATTTCCCTGCTTCTACAAAATACCAGTCACGGCTCTCAGCTGATACGTTAAAGTAAGATGTTTTGACAAAATGTACGAAAACCCTTTAAGGCTCTTCAGTCTTGAGATACTGGTTTTGAGTTCCTTTAAGAAGATAATGGTTAAATCCTGAAATGAAGGGTTTCACTTCAAATTATGCAGAAGTATTTCTATATTAATTGAAATTGCATACCTGGAATGAAAATGTGGGATTATTTTAAGATTTCACAGGATTCTAGAAGGAGGTCAAGGATGAGGCCTTTCATCTCTGATCTACCACGGTGGGCAATCTAACCCACCCAATTAGCAATCGGAATTCATTACAGAAGACAGCCTCGAAGAGAGAGCTGGCTACATGAAAATCCATCTCCAGCCATCTGCGCAAATGTGAGCTGAACTAAATAACGAACTCCAAAGCAATTTGGAACATGTTTTATTTGGCTTCCTGGTGGGGGGAATCTGACGAGCAGTAACTCAGTATGACCCAGCTTATTTTCTCCAGTGAAAAATCAGGCAGAAGGCAAGGGCTTGTAGGAAAATAAAAAACCCAAGTTAAACTGAGATGAGGAGATGCCATGGGGACACCGTGACCCCAACACACACAAACTTGTTTGTCAAAATAAACCGAATTTGGTTCCAATGCTGCCTTCTATTTTATGATGTCTAGAGGATGCTGTTTCAAATCATTTTTGGGGTGGTTTGTACGATCAGAACAGCAGCAAATCTCATCCCTAGGCATGAATAGAGACGGCAGTTCTCAGTCTAACATCACGCTCTGTTAAGCCCCGCTCTACGGAGGACAATCTCTGGAAGGAACTGGTGGCCACAGTCAGGACAGCTGCCAGCTAGGGATCAGCTGGGACTCGGGCTTGGAATTTGTTACCTGTCAGCCAGCACCAAAGCGAGCATCAGCACAATCTTGAAAACCATCCTTCATTTGCTTCCAGAGCCAGGAAGCTGTCTACACCAACGGGGCTGTGCTTGTGAAAGGAAGCGCTAGCATCTTTTTCTGCCTGTGTTGCAGAAAAAGAAAACTGAAGAGGCGGGTGGCGGAAAGGGCTATGTTGGCTGAGCTGCAAAGTGAGTGACCTTCAGCTTACTTATTCACTTTCCATTTTGTAGATGTTGAACTGATAAAAAGGACTCGTTGGCCTTCGGTGCTGGAGTCCCCTCTGGTACTGTGCACACGGCTGTCTTCTAGATCCCTGTCCTCCATGGTTTTCCTTACCTATGTGCATGCGCCCCTACAATGAGCATCAGTCAGTCATTCTTTTATTTATGATCAAGGTGGCACAGTTTCTACCAGCAAAATTGCACGGCGGAGATGATTGTACCTGTTAGAACAAGGAGAGGTGCAAAACTACCTAGAATATTCTCCCGTATTTTTTTTAAATGGCTGTTAAAGAAGTTCTTCTAGCTCACCTTATTCTTTGTTGTGTTGTCTTTCTACCTGCAAGGACGGTACCCATGGCACCCACAGAGAAGCATGCATATATAAAATCACACCTTTAAGTCTGTAATTTATTCTACCTTCTAAGCACTCTGTTGAATGTGTTGACAAGATCTGAAATGATAAACTTAAGAACATAAGTTATACTAGAATGCAGCACATCCTATTCTCCATTGGCTGACCAGCTGCCGACAGGATGCTTCCAAGCAAGGCAGGAGTTCAACAGCATCCTACCTGGAAAATTCATATACATATATTTATGGAATCTGGAGCTTTGGACCTGCAGTCAAAACATCTGGCAAACTCCATCCTGCCTCCTTGATACACAGTCTTGAGGGACCCAGTATGCAAAAAGAAGAAAAAGTGCCCATCCACCAGTGACATTTCAAGATGTTCAGGAACGTAACCTTCAGTTCAAGCCTGCTTATGTGGTTGTGCTGTTTCACTATGCACTCATGAGATTCATTTCCTTGAAAAGAGCCCAGTGTGAAAGTTCCCCAAGACAAATTTTGTGTCGCAGAAATAGTGTTGGTGCGGAAAAGGTTAAAGCTCCACAAAGCAAGGCACTGGAAGCTGAAGGATGTCTTTCAAAAATGCCTTTCTTATCGCGACACTCAAGTAGCAAATGGTGCATGCAATAGCCTCACACTCTCCAGGTCTGCAACCATGTGAGGAAAAGCTCTAAATCAGATTTAAGGCTCTGCTAAATGTGCTCATATTTTCACCCCATCTTTCCTGCAGCTGTTTAAATATTTGGACACCAAAAAAAGGCCAGTGGGAACTTTTAAAACTTTGGGATGCTTGACAGCCAGCGATGCTCCAACTTTCCTCAAAGTACCTTCTGGATGTCTGCTAAGACCTTCACCTCCATGACCAAGAGAGTCGAAAGGTCTTTCAGCAAAGATCTTTGTCTTAGTAAAGGTTATACCTTGGTCTCTTTAGAAGAAATGCTGCTTGCCATAGTAACAATGAAACCCGGATTGGTTTCCCATATGCAGGAGGGTTTTCGGTGGCTGGGGGGAAAGGGGACCTCATTCATCAGTGATGCACCAACCTCTACATGTAGAAGGCCCAAGGGCCAATCTCCAGCTCCTTTCTGCTACACGATTCAAGGGTCAGGAAAGAGTGGGCTCTCTATGATGAGCACCCGATGACCAAAACCAACAGATAATACTGGGCAGGATGGATGGATAGCCTGACTGGCAGCATCCTACACCCTTTTCCATATGGGAAAGGCTTCCTTTAAGTAAGAGATACTGGAAACATGCTGGGTCGAATCAAAAGCTGAGAAAGTCAAGCCTCCTGATCTCATGGTTCTCTAGAGCAGTGGTTCTTAACCTTTGTTACTCAGGTGTTTTTTGAACTGCAACTCCCAGAAACCCCAGCCAGCAGAGCTGATGGTGAAGGCTTCTGGGAGTTGCAGTCCAAAAACACCTGAGTAACAATGGTTAAGAACCACTGCACTAGAGGAAGACTTCCAGCAGGACGGGCTCCTCCTGCTTATGTTCCCCAGGAAGTAGCGTTGAGATGTATATAATCTCTGATATTTGGGCAGGCAGGGCTAACACAGGGCCATCACGGCAAGTGGCCAGCAGTGGCGTTATGCTCCATGAATTTGGCCCGACCGCCCTCTAAAGTCCTTTGTGCTGATCAACATCACTCTTTACTGTGTAGCCAATTATACCGGTCGCCCAAGCTCTTTATATGAAGCTTTTTGAAAATGGCCTTATAACCAAGTGATTCCCACAAAATATGGAAATTAGCACTTTGGCTTCCCCCCCGCCATAAAATGAAGGAAAGACCTCACGTGAAAAGAGGCTGATTTAAACAAATAATAATTTCCCTGCAATTTTCGAAAACAGAAAACGAGTATGTGCAAGCAATTAAAGTTTGAAGTCATTCTTAAACAGAAAACCAATTACAGACATATTCTAAAGCATGTATTTAGCGCAACAGCTTTTATTTTACCCTTAAGCTTGGTTGGAGCAATCAAACCCAAAGCTAGTTATCTTGCGGAAGTTAACAAATAATTCACCTTCAACCAGGGGCCTCATTAATTTTTTTAAAATATTTATGCCTGTGCTTGATTCAGCTTTCATAATAAGCCTTTTCAATAATGAATTACAATACAAAATAAAGGGTGTGTGTGGGGGGGAGACGTCACAAACATTCCAGTACATATTGATTCTCTACGACATAAATAAATGTATCCCTGCAATCATTCACCAGCAAGGCATAAACTATAAATACAGACCCCGTTAATTTTTCTAAACTATCTGCATTCTCAATCAACAGGAGCGATTTCATGCGTTCGCTGAACCAAGGGGCGACTGCAGCATTTTAGTGAAAAATGCAGATCACCACTGGAGATGTATGGCGTGAAGGGAACCTTTGAGTAGAAATGATATTTCAGCTGTAGTCAGGTTTGCTTTCCTAAGTATCTGAGTTTGCCACAGTGTTAATTGATGTGATGCCATCCAAACGGTCGCCTTCCATTTACAACTAAACGTTACAGGCTAAGCAGTGACAAACTCTAACCACCACCTTGTTATCCACCGGCTGCACTTGATTTAACTAACAGAACAGGGGTCATCCGTGCTGGGCTTGACTTCGCCTTCCAGCAATAAATTCATCACGGCTTTTGTTAAGTAGCTGCACGTTCCTCGTTTTCCCAGCGGAGGAGTGTTATAGAAGGAAGTCATGTCATCCTGCATAAACAAACAAGAGTTTGATCTTAGCCGCAATATTGATGGGTAACAATTAGCTTAACTAGCAGCAAGGAGCGCCACAGATGGAAAACAGTGTGGTGATGAAAAGTGCACTTCCCACACTTGACATTCTCCTGTCGTTTAGTAGGGTAAATATTTTGGATCCTAACCAAAGAGCTGGAGAGGAGGGGGGGCGCTGACTGATGCACAAATGAGGAAGCCTAACAACAACAACGTGAGATACGATAGCAGTTTTCAAATATTTGAAAGATAGTCATATAGAGGAGGGCCAGGATCTGTTCTCAATCATCCCAGAGTGAAGGACATGCCATCATGGGCTCAAGCTACAGGAAACCAGTTTTAGGCAAATATCAGGGAAAAAACTTCTTAACTGTTAGAGCAGTACGACAATGGAAGCAATGACCTCAGGAGGTGTTAAGTGCTCTAACGCTGCAGGCATTCAAGAGAATAATCGGACAGCCCTCTGTCAGATGGTGTTCGGTTTGGATTCCTGCTTTGAGCAGAGGGTTGGACTCAGTGACCTCAGGGGACCCTTTCCAACTCCATTATTCTGTGATTCCATGAGCCACATACCCCACATGGGCTTCGTTAAGGGTCGGATCGAGGTCCTTTACCAAAGATGGGGCCACGTTTTACGGCATTTTTAAGCACCATCTTTCTGCAGGGGCAAAGCCACTGCAAACCTTTCTATAGTTCCTTCAGGGAGTCGTCCCTTTATGGGTGCTAAATGTCCACCGCCTGTCCTCCAGCATGGAGTCCTGCCAACATGATGTGGGTGGTTGGGGGTCGTAGGGCTATGGCACACTTTGCTGCTGGGCGACAGAAGGCGCAGCTATGCTTTCCCAGGAAGGGACAACACGGTAGAGCTATGGTGGGCTGGTGTGGAGGAGCACCGCATAAGGAAGACTGGAGGCTGGGGCAGATATAGACGGTGACGGAGGCAGAGGGCGAGAGGAGCCAGCAAGAGCACCAGAGGGGGGGGAAAGGTTTTGGCATGGGGGTGGGAAGGACAGGCAGTCTTCTCTGGCTGGGACTTTAATCCGAACTCCAGAAGTGTTCAGAGGTTTTGCTACACTCTCCTCCACCTCGAGGTAAGGATTATAAGTGCCACAAGCCTGCCGTTAGACCCAAGCCTGCCAATAATAAGAAATAAAGAGCATGGATTAAATACTGCACTGACCTGTTTCTCAGTGCCCTTGAGTCGGCTCTGGTCCTTCTGGAAAGCATCAAAGGCATCTTTCACTAATCTGTCCAAATCCACTTTATCCAGAAACTCCAATTCGGGGTTTCTTTCCAGAATGATGGAGACAACCATCAACAACTGAAGCACAGAAGAAAGCGAAAGATTCAGACACATCTGCCTACCTCTCTAGAGCAGTCTGACATGCAGGATGCTTCAAAGACACACGTCACTTAGGAGAACATGCAGGAATGCTGGTCAACTGTTGAGTCCAGCTATCTAAACAGCACTCCATCTACATCTGCTGTCTCATGTACAGGTGTTCTCCTTCAAAGGACTAGACGGATGTGGTGATGGGGGGGGCTTACCCTGGACACATAGGCCAATATACTATTTAGCAATCATGGGGTGGGAGGGGGAGGACTAGATGTACATGGTGATGGGGGGGGTTACCCTGGACACATAGGCCAATATACTGTACTATTTAGCAATCATGGGGTGGGAGGGGGCTTCGCATGCAAACTCTGGTAGGCTCCCTGTTGCATAGCGATTTTTGCACTGGTTGCGAAGTGGGGAATGGGGATACTGTGAGAGTTACACAACTGTTCTTCTTGACTGTTGAAAAGGATACTATCTAAAGTGTGAACTAAAGTGTCATATGTTTAGCTTTGCCACTGACACTGCTGTGCTTGACTGGTTCATAGTACAAATTAACGGGCAAAGCAGCAATGAAAAAAGTTACACTGGGCACCAACCAACCAGCAAAGAGTGGCCGTTTTATGGGGAATGAGCAAGCCTGCTGGCTTCTCCTGCCACCGTGGACCCCTCCTCATCAAAGACCTGTTCCCAAGCAGGAGTTTCAAAGACAATGAACAGGACCTTTGTGCATACAGAACACAGGAAACAGCTTTGCACTGAGACAGACGATTTAGTACAGAAGAATCTATAGATGCCAGCCTCTTTCAGTCCATTGAGCCTGATTCAAATTCAGAAAAGTTATTACAGGCAACGTTCTGGCCGCAGGTGGAGTAAAAGGTACATGGATTAGACCCAAGATACCAGCATATGCTAGTTTAAAGATTTTAAAAAGTGATTTCAATTTTTCAGTCCAGAGAATGAGTTCTTTGTTGAAACTTCTGTATTGGCTCAAGTTCTCACACTTTTGTCTCAAAAACATAAAACGTGACGAAATGTATGATTCGTGTTTCTTACAGCCAACATAACGATACAAACCTCCACAATTATTTGCCTGTATTCAGGCTGATCAATATTCTTTAACATGTCCTCCACAAGAAGGGAAAAGTTCATTTCATACATAGTCATGTCCGATAAGGTGGGTTGCTGTAAAAAAGAAACATGATTGAGCTGTCGCGTGGTATCAGCCAGTTTCTTTATGGTGACAGACTTTTTCACAAATACAGGCTGGCGATTCCAGTGACCAAACAGCATTTTTCCTTCAACGCTAGAAACTTGTGGAAGGGACCCCACTTAGTCTAATTTTCCTTTGATGCAAGAAATTCCCCCAGTAGCAGCCTCCCTGACTTTTAAGCAGCCTCCTCTTCAAAACCTAAGACAGCCAAGGTATCTTGCAGGTGATTTTTACCTGTGGCAAAAACTTCCCAGCAACTATCAGACCATTGGGAGTCCTCTCCAAAATCTGCCACACCCTGTCATAGAACCCACTGGGAGTTCGGTTCAGGGCCCCGTCAATCTGACGTCGGTTCAACCAGCATCTGAGAATGAAAAAGAAGGAAAGGGAAACAAGCAAGATAAGGAGTTGTTTATGAAAGCAATCTGTGCCCAGATCAAAACAACACTTGCTTTTGTGGATTAACTGAACTCGGTAAGAAATAAGCAGAAAAACCCACGACCCGACAACAATCAGTCAGTCAGACAAAACACAATATGCTCTGGCGACTTTCTTATCAAATGTGTCATAACAACGTTTCAGTTTCTTAAAGACGAGAACAATATTAGAATTGACTAAGAACAAAGCTGAATGATCACGTTCAGTGCTCCTGCTGTTTAAGTTTAATGTGTGCCTTATAAATGGATCTGAACCAGAAAGTCAAACCTCTTTAACCAGAGGCGATCAATCAAATCTATCTTTTTGAGTCTGGACCAGAAAGTGACCTGACAGAGGCAGTCAAAGCTTCCATGCGGAAAAGCATATTGACCTTTCAGATATTTTCCAAATCTTGTTGAGCTTAAACAGAATGTTCCTCTGTGATTCATCTCACTTGTCGCCTGCTGTCCTTACAGCATTTTTTAAAGGTTGCATTTAATTTAGAATTTTACTGTCACAAGTTCTCTTTAGCAAATAAATATTCATAAATGCTTCAGCATGAATAGACAAACACAAAAATCTCACACAGACTGAACATAAATAAAAAAAACCCTTCCTAAATTGGCTTGATAAGCTTGTCAGTTTCTGGAAAGGGGCACTTTTTTATCTCATCAACTCATTTCCTTCTGAAGTGATTAATTTAATACAGCCTTTATCAACATGGTGCCTTCCGGATGTTTTGAACTGCAACTACTATTGGCTCCAGCCAGAATGGCCAATAGTCAAGAATTCTGGGGTTTGGGGATCAATTTCTGAAGGTGTAATTCACATTTAATACCAACCATTCTTAAGCACAAGACAAATTCATTCATTCATTCATTCATTCATTCATTCATTCATTCATTCATTCATTCATTCATTCATTCATTCATTCATTCATTCATTCATTCATTCATTCATTCATTCATTCATTCGACTTAACTTATATGCCGCCCATCTAGACAATGTCTACTCTGGGCGGCTCACAGCAAATAGGATAAAACAACTGAAAAATAACAACAATATCTCAACAAATGAGCAGCTAGGAAGCTCATGGTTGTGTATTCCTTATTTTTCCTCCTCTTTTTTTCTGTGATCTTGCAACCAACCATGGTTTGATCGGAACACAGAAGGAAGAAACATGTGCAAGCACTGGACTCAAGCAATCGCTTCATCCTCTGGCACCAGGAGATCAGAAACTTCTAATCTGTTTAAGTGTTACGCCTGAACTCTAAACATCATGGTTAGCCTTAACAATGATGAGTGGAAACAAGCCACCTTGTTGTTCCAGCCAACAAGGATTGAGCCATGTTTTCCAAACTGAATCTTAGGGGAGGGCTAATCATGGTTTACAATTTCAAGCACAGAGACAAACTAGTTTGTTACAAACCAAGGCTGAAGGGAACCATGACATGCAAGGGGGTTAGAGAAGGTGAGACCGTATAATCAGTGCTCTGTTATACAATGCTGAACTATGAACTGCCATTGCAGATGAACCATGTCTTAATATTAAATCCTTAGCAACTCAGAATTGGGATATTCCTATTAAGTGGCAAACTTATATTCTACAGTTTATGGGAAAGATGTGTCATCATGTCACATAAGAACGGCCAGTTTATATAGAACCTGTTTCACAAGCTGTTTTAACTCAGTTTTTAATCCTGTTATTTTTAAATCATACCTTGAGTCCCAATTTTGAGAGAAAGGCAGACTATACGTTGAGTGAAAGATGCAGAATTGGTAGAGACAAGGAACAGCTGCCATGGTGGATTAAGGGTGTTGCTACAACTTAAAGGTGCTCCAAAACCCTTCACCGTTTTGGCTGAAAGACAACTAACCAGGTGACCCAACTGGATGTTATCTAATCAGCAGAAACCCCAACTCTGTGACGAAGAACGGGCCTCCTTGACAACCTGCCTAGCCATAGGCTTCAGCTAGCAAAAGGGAAGAAGCTGGCAGTCTTTTTAATTTATGCAATATGTTCTCTCTTTCCTCCAGGCAAGAGCATCTCCTCAGAGCAGTTCTTCCCTTTGAAGGTTTCTCTCTACGCATCCGTACACACACAAAAGGGGTTTGAAAGAAATCACATGGCCAATTTTGCACAGAAATTTGGTTTCATAAAGAGATGAATGTAAAGCTTAAAAGAACTGTTTGTCTCTGGAACTCCACCTTCGCAAACAGGGAGTAGGCAAAAGCAAGCGAGGAATTTGCCAGGTTTCTAATCTTTCTTTTGCTCAAAGGATAGCACAGTTTTATCAATATGAGCATTTTGCAGACCTCTCTGCAAAAAGAACATTGAGTACGGACTTTTTTTTGGGGGGGGGAACAGAAGCAATAATATTACAAGTGCATTTGTCCACACACACACACACACACACACACACACACACACACACACACACACACACACACACCCATGCGTGGTGGGAAAAGAACTGGTTGCAGAGCAGAACGAGGAAGAAATCTAAAGAAAACACAGTTTGTGCAATCAATCAGCAAGGAATGCCCACTGTGAGATGCTGGTGGAGAGAGATCGCCTTACCTTCCTGACTGCTGAGGCTGAAGACCCCATCATCTTCTCATTCCACGAGAAGATGATGGGGTCTTAAAAAATGTTAAGAGATGGCTCCAAAAATTGACTTACAAATCTTAGTTGAGGATATTGATTCTGTTTTGCTGTGGTTTGGCAAATGCCTGCCAGCATCATCCCCAGCTTCCTCTGTGCTTGTCTGTGGCATGCGTACACACCCTCTCTTGGACAGGCAGCGAATATTAACTGAGCATGTCATCTTGAAGCAACACACTCCAGGCGCTACTGCTGAGGCCTGAGCATGCTGATGGGAGAGTGGATTTCACAGTAGTCCAGGAGAAAGGGGGTCAGCGATCAGCAGATAAACAAACTCCTTAAATTGCTAGTCTTTGGGTGAGGCTGGCTCCCTTCCGAGGCTCAAAGGCAATGAGGGAAATCTTACCTACATCAGATGCCTGGGGCTACTGCCAACAGAAGTATCAGAATCTGATGACGGAGCAGAGCCCCGTACATGGGCAAAGGGAGCAAATAGTCTTGCCTATGTCTTGTTTTTGCTTTTTCAGCTTCAAAACACACACACACACACACACA